CCGTGTCCTGGTCGAGAGTCTCGCCTCCCGTCGCTCTCATCGACTCGTCACCCCGTTAGCCGGTTACACCGCACTCTCTGTTCTACATCATCCGACCCATCGTACCCGCCGCCGCTCCCTCATCGACTTCCTCCACCCCCTCCTCTCCTCCATGCAATCCTGATATTGCGCCTTGCCAGGCACCTTCGTCAACCCCCTCCGTCTCGACGTCGCCCGTGCCAATCTACGACGTAGGGGCGTCTTGCGGTTCCTCGACTCGTCGCTGTCGCTGTCGCTGTCGTCGCTGCCGCACGGGCATGCCATCACTGGCATTCCTCGACAGAGACACACTTTAGTGCTGCGACATAGACGACCCTCGACCCTCAATGGATCCCAATCATATGCTGCCGCGGCCTGGCGAACGGCAACGGCCCTCCTCTAAACAAAACCGATTCGATCCGACACGCGACCTCTCCTCACCGCCGTCCTATGCGCCTCCGAGCTATCAGAACCATCCGCAATCCCGCGCCGAACTCCTGCCACCCATCCTACCGCCAGCTGCCGTTCACCATGATCCCGCGTCGAATAAGCTACCCTCGTTATCGTCCCTGACCGGCCCGCCCCCGCCCTCCCGCAACCCTCCCCCGATCCCGACTTCGCGGCCGTCAACATCGACTTCAATCTCATCCAGTGCAACCACAAAGACGGCACCTGCGTCCCAGGAACCTGCGGCGCCCGCCATCACGCACTGGCCGAGCATGAACCCGTTCACGACCTACTACACTCCGAGCCATGTCCAGCAGGCTGTCCAGTCTTCTGCCAAGATGGATGTGGACACCACCTCCAGCGCCGGCAACAGTCACACTGGCACCTCGCCTGACAGGTTGTATGACGCGCGAAGCGTCAGCGTCAGCCTGGACGACCCAGAAGTGCGGCTGGCAGCTGAAGCCTTGGGAGATCTCAGAGCAGGGGGGTGACGTTGAAATGCTTGTTGGCTTGGCTATTTCACTAACACACGTGTCCCCAGACTTTGTCAACTCTCCCCCTAGCAGGAGCACCCCCCTTCCCACAGGGTCGCCGGCCCTGTCACTCGCGGCGCGTTCTAGCACAAACACCCAGTCACCTCAACAAGAGCCGCTCTTTTCGCTCCTCACCACATCCCACCCTTTGCTCGCGACCACCATTGAAGGTGCCACCTCGGCCTACAATAACTCCAAGAACTTCTCGCCTCGCTTCAAGACGAGCGCCGAGTATGTCGAAGGCTACCTCACGCCCATCGCGAATACGGTTGGGTCTGTGGGCCGCGTTACTGGTGTTGAGGGTGGAGTCAGGTGGTTCCTGGGTGAAGGTCGCCGGCCTTCGGACCTTGAGGCCGGGCAGGGTAGCTCAAACAAGAGGAGGAAGGTCAGGGGCGATGACATGGTCGGCGTTGTCGTGGACCCCGCTGCGCATATACTCGCCGCCGCTGCTGTTGCCGAACAGGAATCGAATCGCGATTCGTACCTTTTCAAACACGACAGACGCCTGTCGAGGGCCAGCACCATTGATACACTCCCCGCCTACGACGAGTCTCGCTCTCCGGCCTACACCGAAGATGACAAGCAGAATGCCCAGAGGGGTAGCGCGGCTGAAGCGCGCAAGTCCCGTCTGGTCATCTCAACCTCTGGTCTAGCCGTGTCAATGAGCAAGGAAAGCCTCCGAAGTCTGAAGTACTGCCTACGATGGCTCCGACTGGCCAACGATCACATTGGCGGCGTCGTCGGCCATCTCAAGACGACGCTTGAACAGTACGACAAGGCTGCCGGCCCCGGCCAGGAAGTCAAGGCTGAGCAGTCGCCTGACGGTGAGACTATGGAAGTTGATGGCCGTACCTCCAACGATACGGAACACCAGGAAGACCCCACTGTGTTCGCCGCTAGGATCACGGTGCTCTAGGCCGATATTCTCAAGAATTTGCAGGCCGCCATCGAAACCGTGTCCAAGTACGCCGGCGGAGCGCTCCCCGAGAACGCACGGGTCTTGGTCCACCGACAGATCACCAGTCTGCCGCAGCGCTTCCGATATGCGAGCATGGTCGAGCAGCAGCAGAACCAGGAGGGAGGCGAGAGGCAGCAGGAGGAGATGACACGCGAGGGTGCCAACAGGGTGCTTGTCCTGGCCAAGGAGGGCCTCGACATGATCACCCAGGTCAGTGGCGTCATTGACGGAACCATCGTCAGCGCCGAGGAGTGGTGTGATCGTCTCGGCAGCAAGCGCAAGGATGAGGGCCCGATACTACCAGAGGCACATGTGCCGGTTGGAGACGTCAAGGCGGCATGAAGCGTCATGCTACGAGGCCGGATGCCTTGGGGCACTCTTGAGTTACCCGACTACCTCTCCTACAAAGAGAAGGAAACCGTAAGCAAAGCGACACGCCACGGGGAGAAACAGACGGGAAGCGTAAAACACGAAAAGCAGGAAGATAATCCTGATCGAAATGGATCCGGATACGAAACACGGCGGAAGAGAAAAGAAAAAGTAGGGTGCAGACCAAAGACTTTGTTCAATGGACGAGAACCCAAACAAACTCCAATCCATCTTCTATGATACCACGGAGGCGACCGTCCTCATTGATATTTTTATTTTCCTTTCTGTTTTCAAACCCCTATCCTCACGCCCGCCCCCCATCTTCTCATTTCTTTGTCTACCATTTATACCATGATAGCTACCAAGGTCTTTTTTTGTTGTTTGCTTTTATCATTCTTGATCTACTTAGAGGTTTTCCACATCCATCTGCTCGCGCGAGTGTGATTACGTGACATCTCCTTTTGCTCGTGGCGTGCTGGTAGATGGAGATATACGAGAGGCATGGCGTTTGCGAGTGAAGTACTTTTCACCCTTTTATACCAAAACCTATGTCCGAGAGCACGTGTGTTTACTCTTCCCTTGTGCAGTCATGGGTTTTGCATGCCTTGTCCTCACGCGGTTGTATGTACCATCTCGGTCACGAAGGGGGTCATTCCTTGATCAGAAGACAAGACAAGAAAGACACTTGATTTGGCTACCACAAGATAAAAAGATGATCGTTATGTTTGACTGACTGCGAATTTGTTCCAAAGGAACCTTTGCTACGTAAAAAGCCGCCCCTTGAAAATGTG